TTCCTCCTCACTCTCATCTTCAGGGATGCCAATGTCACATTCACCAGTCCTAGCAGGGAAGAACAACATGTCCTTGTCTTCCGCGTCGGAGAGCTCCGGTTCAGGCTCCGAATAATACGGCCTGTGTTATGCGTTGCAGAAATATGTGATGTGTAGATGTAATAAACCTACTTCCCATCCTCACTCTCACAAATTAGTATGTTCTCACATTGCTTCATCACCTACCTGTATTAACCGTGTCCAGCGAAGGCGCTCAAGGAGAGTAGGCGCGAGTAGACGAACGCTCACCTTGAGACCGCGATCAAGAAGCTAGTCCGCGAGGTCTTGTCCGAACAGAGGTGTGACAATACCATGCACCGGTTCTAAGCCCAGGCTTTCCTAGCAATTTAAGAAGCGACTAAGCCCTTTATAGTGGGGTTCCTGGGCGGTACGATATGCTGTATTCTCGCCTCCCTGTTCATCGCCAACGGTTGTAGATAGCAATCTCCTCGCTTTTCACGCCTACCGCGTCACCCTCCGGCACAAGGACTTGACAGCAACAAGAGAGTAGTAGGAGAGGTTCAGACTATTAGCGTAAGACGCTCGTTTACCTAAATGTAATGTTCGGTACGCCTGCGTGGCGCTTCCTTGTAATAGGTTAGTTCTGCGCAGAGCACTGTGCGTGCCCATATAAATCCGAGTTCGATACGTTCTGCACTCTATTCTGTGATAATTAACTATAATAACGGCTGCCTTGCGTCTTTGAATATAGCCATGTATCGTACCACCCAGCCCCACTTAGCCATGTTCATCCGTACCCCAAACCCGCCATATGTTTCCACTAGCGCTGCTGGGGTCGCTGTCCCGAATTAACAAGCATAGCGCCCAGGCCCAAATTAAGATCTATTCCGGGGCGTCCTTAAGCGTAGCCATCGCTCGCACGGGCCCTTAGGACATTCCCGGAGGGATAGGCCGTGCGCGATGCTCACGCGACGGACAAGATGCCCTTACCCCAGACTGTCAGCATTATCCGCGCGACGAGGTCTTAGGTCTGGGCTAGGAAAGGGCCACCGTCAAGACGACCCCGTCCAAACCCAAGGCAGACCCATATGCCGGCGAAGTCAAAGTATACAAGACAAGCATTGCTTCACAATTGCGGCAGGGAGCAAAGTCAGGAGAATGCACAATATATTAGAGTACTCAATCCCATTCTAGTCAGCCTGTCTTGCTACTTACGACCTGCACTCCCGCTCAAACCTTCCTCCACATGCCTGCTCTAATCCAGGTAATCCTCAAGGCGCTCGAGGAGGGTTTCGTAGACCTTAGCATAGACTTAGGGTAGGCTGGCACCAGGGGGCTTGAAGCGGTTGTCGAAGTTGACGATGCGCCAGTCCAGGATCTCAACGCCCTCGAACTGTTCTCGGTCCTTGAAGTGGGAGGTCATAGGGAAGCGGCGGCTGTTGTTGTCACAGGCTATAGTGTACAGGCGGACGGCAACGGCACCGTTCCTCTAGGCACCAACATCAACGCCGTTAGCTTGCTCGTTCAGGATAAAGGCGGCGAAAACGAGATGAGGGACTTCCGTCTTCGAGTTAGGACTATCTGCAGTAACAACGGGGGCGTTAGGGGTGTCAGCTATAAAGACACTTAGGTCAGCGGTGAGAGCCGCATTGCCGTTGCGCGAGGCAGGGTTGAAGTAGAGGTGGCCGACAGTGGCGATGGTGTCTGGAAGTTGGCGCATATCGATGGTATCGCCGGCGCCATCGTCTTCCTCGATAGCCTCCTTATCGTGAGTCGTACCGACAGGACGAAGAAACCAAGAAGGAAGTGGGCAGATCGGGATGTGGCCAGGCTTAGGAGAGAGCTGCTGTAATATATGTCAGCTTTACACTTAGAAGGAAGAGACCCCGGCAGAGCGATAAGAACCCGAGACAGACTTACAGGCAGAGCCATCGCGTGGAACCACTGCGTCACGCCGTAGGTGTTGACAAACCAGCTAAGTGTCATGATAGCGTGGGGGGTTAGGATGCGGGAGGGGATAAAGCTTGTGTTAAAGGTAAAGAATTTTGGTTAAAGAGAAAGATCTTAGTAGAGGGTAAGAAGTGTGGTGTTAAGGATAATCGAAAAGGTAGACGAGTTAGAAGCAAGGGGAGGGTGAATACTTATACCAGACCGCCGCATCCTGCTTCCGTGTCGCAATCATAGCGCCTGCGGTAAACTTGCGCGCCCGATGCCGTCCGTATACAGATCCCGCCGATAAGGGTGCAAAGGCAGCTGCTAGTAAGAGAGTTAGGAGGATAGGCATGTGTATGCTGCGGACGAAGTAGCAATCGCCTCGAAGGTGCGTTAGTTGTTAGGCTAAGGTTGTGCGGATGTTAGTCTTCACGTGCGGATCTGTTCGTTAGGGATATGAAAGTAGCAGCCAATCAGAGCATCGGGAGGATAGACATAGCTGCGGCGAAGGCGACTTAGTAGCCGCTGTGACGTTAAGGTCGTTCGAGCTGTGACGCGGGGGTGTAGTCAAGGTGAGGCCGCGCAAACGCAGGCTTTCCCATGCGCATCTGGCCGCTCCAGCTCAGCCCGAGAAAACGAAGCCCGTAGGAGCGCCAGGCTGCTCGAGATATCCGCGGCGAAGGAGGGGTGGTTGTTGCGATAACGCCAGGTTAACTATAGAAGTGAAGCCGCGAAAACGCGGAAGGTAGACGAAGATATCGCCTAAGTAGGTTAGTAGATAGGTCGAGTTATAGTTGCGGTTGGGGCAAGTATACCTACCCAACGCCTTTTCAGAATCCCAGCAGCGCATAGATGCTAGTTATCACAGTTATCTACTATAGCATGTAACAGTTTCGCGTATATTGTAGGTTCCTAGGAGTACAGATCGTTTCTTTCCACGCCTCGTGTCCGTAACGACGAAGGTCCTCAAGTCCTCTTAAACGTTGTGGCAGATCCCAGCTTGTTGTAGTACTAGAGCGCCAGGTTTAAGTCTCTTGTGTTAATAGTAATCCGTTTTGCATAAATCGCGTTTAAATTTATATCTATAGTAATTAGCGGATTGTATGTGCGTTGGAGATCGCTAGACAAACCTTCAAAGTACCCAACAACGAAAGCCTCTGTCGCCTCTTGCAAAGCACTGAGCGCAGCCGCTTGGAATCGGAGGTCTGCCATGTATTCCTAGGCTATCTCGCGAGCAAGGCGGGCAAAGGGCAGCTTGGGCAGGAGGAGTTCGAACTCCCTTTGATACCGTCGGATCTCTCGAATCGCGACCGCTGCTAGTTGTCAGTCCTGTAGTGGGAGTAATGGTTGTGAGAACGTACTGCCAGGCTTCTTGCGTTTCTTCGGCCTCCCCTCGCCGTCTGGCTAATTTGTTGCCTTCGCGGCCGGTTTCTTGCGTGCCGCCTTAGCCGCCAATAGTTTGGGTACGCTTTTGCCGCCAGTGGAGAGCCTAGCAGTCTACTTCGTGCGAGCCATGTCGTAGATGTCGAGGTAGGGTGAGTGGTGATTAGGGATCGGCGACGATGGAGATGGGTCGCGCGTTGCTTGGGTGATAGGCTGTTGTCATGGGCTGCTATAACAGCAAGCTGTAGACGTCGGTGGGCGGGATAGTAGACGTCGGATAGTTTAAACGTTGGAGACAGTCGTAGCGCGGTGCACGGGCTGCCGCAGCGGTGAGTGTGCAGGTAGGTAGATGGGTTAGTAGAAGTTCGATAGTTTGAACTTTTGAGATAGTCCAGCCCAAAGTCGAACTCCGTCCTCTCACCTGCCCACCTACTCACCTACCCACCGCTACTGCGCTCGATTCCACTGTCAGTCATCTCGCTACTTCGATGCGTATCATGAAAGACGAGCATTACCACGCGCCCAAAGGTCTTGCCGCACCCTC